TCTGGAGAAGGTTTCTATGGTTCCAAGCATCCAATCTTCACAGCAGCAAAGGCAAAGGTATCAAGAAGTCAGTGCGGGTGATGCTGCTTCTACTCCAGTTACCAGGGAGGAAACACTTTAGCAGAAGCTTCCGGAATGCCTCTTCTTATTAGCCACAACTAGGTTTCACTTCTACCACCAAGATACTGACTAGCCAAAAGGAGTGAGATTATTACTGTACTAGTTGGGGTCATGCTAGCTAGCTTCTAGAACAAAAACAAATTTCATTAGATGCAGAATGACTGACGTACAGTAGATTTTCCTTCCTCTAACGGTTGCAGCACTCTGAGGATTCAGGGCCCAGGCTATTTCCATCTTAGAGTTCCCAATAAGCGGCAGCCATGAGCAGCGGGGAAATGCAGAGAACTGAAAATGGTGAGTGGGATTATAAACGCTGAGAAAAAAAATTAACCTTTCCAACAGGCCCAGCGCTCCCCAAAGTCATGTAATGTCATGAGATAATTTTTTTGAGTATCTAAGGATTAATGATAAGCTTCATTACAGTTTAAGTTGGGTCAACAGAACAGTTCCTAGCGGGGCACTTGTGGCTCATGCCTGTAATCCCAGTTACTCAGGAGACCAAGATCTGAGGATCACGGTTCAAAGCCAGCCCAGGCAGGAAAGTCCGTGAAACTCTTATCTCCAATAAACCACCAGAAAACCGGAAGTGAGGCTGTGGCTCAAGTGGTAGAGCACTAGCCTTGAGATGAAGAGCTGAGGGACAGCGCCCAGGTCCAGAGTTCAAACCCCACGACCGACCAACCAAGCAACAAACAAATAGCAGTTCCTAAAACAACAGATCTTTAACTTCCCAACCCAGACCAGCAAACCACAGTCTGGATTGAGATCAAATACAATTCAGTGAACCTCACCCCTATTCCTGGGATAGCAACACTGCTCAAGAGCTTCTCCTGAGGAGGAACTTAAAGCTCTAAGCCCTTTACACTTCAGTAAAAACTTGTACCTGGGTTAAAAAAGCCTTTTAGTTCTCACCCTACTGGTGAACTGCTTTTTTTCCCCCATCCTGGGGCTTGAACTCAGGGCCTGGGCATGTCCCTGAGCTTCTTTTGCTCAAGGCTAGCATTCTACCACTGGAGCCACAGTGCCACTTCCAGCTTTATCTGTGTATGTAGTACTGAGGAATCGAACCCAGGGCTTCATGCATATTAAGCAAGCACTCTACCACTGAGCCACATTCCCAGCAAATGAGCTGCTTTCAGTTTATGGGATGTGGTTTCTTTTTCCAATAAACTTTCTTATCCTTTTCACTGTGCTCCACATCATGTCTTAATTCTTCTCTTATTAGATACAAGGATGGAGGTGCATTACCTGCATTGACTTGCAGGTTACATTTCCTTCGTCTCCCAATTTTATCATTTTTCTAAATCCCTCCAACATAATAGAGAAAGAGTATGGAGAAGATACACTGCTTTCCAACATTTCATCAGCAACAACTACTTTCATGTCCCATTTATGTGCCCAGGATGGGAAAAGCTTTGCTTCTTACTAGAAATACTATGCTATGGAAAGAGGAGCACATGGAATTTGGCACTTAGCTAGTTGTCTTTGCCAAGCCCTGACTTACTTGGACCAGAGCTTTCCAACAGGAAAATAATGTGAGTCACTTAGGTCATTGGCAGTGCTCTCTCTTTCTCTCTCTCTCTCTCTCTCTCTCTCTCTCTCTCTGTATTAATACTGGGGCTTAGACTCTGGGGCTGGGCACTGTCCCTTGGCATTCTTGCTCAAGGCTAGTTTGTGCCACAGATCCACTTCTGGCTTTTTGGTGGTTAACTGGAGATAAGAATCTCATGGAGGGGCTGGGAAGGTGACTCAGTGGTAGAGTGTTTGCATGAGGCTCTAAGTTGAAGCTATAATACCACCCAAAAAAATCTCGTTAGAAATAATTTTTGGTTAATTACCAGAATAAGTTATTGAATCAGAAGGCTGGTAGTAACTTCCAAATTTTGTTTTGAAATCTATCCTCCACCATAGTAAAAAAAAAACAAAAGGGGGGTGGTGGGGATAAAACGGTGTGACTACAATGAGAATAGAGGAACCTGCTGTCTAAGTGTTCTCCAAACCATTTTCTTCCAAGCACAAGAAATCATTTCTGTTTGTACTTTCTGTGAACAGTGAGTCAATTTTTTTTTAAAAAGTAAAGACAGCAGCCACAAAAAAATGCCTAGGCCATGAGCCAGAAGAAAAGGGGGAAATAGTGCCAACTAAGCATTACCTCGCCAATTTCATTAACAGTAAGAGGCCACACAACCAAAGTCACCCAAGTACAAAAAAGTCTGCTATCTCTTTCTGGCTTGGACTCTAAGCCCTGATGTCCATACTGACGGCCAAACCCACGCTGTGCATATAAAAACACGGTAGCCATGCAGAAGCCAGCAGTGTTCTCAGGCTATCTGTCCTAATTTATTCTAATTTTCCTTTCCCCATATTAATGCATGTTATGAAGAAAGATACACGGAAGGGCATGTGGGATGCCATCAAGATCATTGGCTTTATTCACCTTAGAAGCTGACTCCCTTCTACAAATGACAATGACAGTGGCTACTTTGTCTAGGTCTGTAGCAAAGCCTGAGTCATCTTTTTGAAAAAAAAAGTTTGCTTATTTGTTCTGCTTTAAGTCAGGGTTCTCTGGAAGGACAAAGCCAATAGAATGTATATTTATATATAATATGCATAATATATAACAGATATATATATATAGAGAGAGATGTAAAAAGGTATTTATTAGCTTATTTTGAACTACTGGGGGCTGGTTAGTCACATAATGGCTATCTACATGTTGGAGAACCAGAGAACCTAGTGACTGCTCATGTGAGAAGCTGAAGCCTCAGAAGGATGGGATTGATGATGTAGTCCAGTTGGAGGCTGAAGGCCTGGTGGCTACCTGAAAATGCTCTGGTGTGAGTCTGCATTAAAAGACTGAAGAAGCTCGTGTCTGCTACTCACAGGCAATGCAGCAGCCATGCATGTGCTCCTACAGAGAAAGGGCACCTGGAGAGTTGGCTAGCCTCCTTTCATCCCACTTCTACTCGACCTCTCCCTGGTGCTGGTCACACCCAGGATGCGTCTTTCCCCCTCCGTTTCTGTCCTACATGTCAATCCTTTCTGGAAATGTCTTCACAGATTTCCTCAGAAGTGTGTTTTACTAATCTCCAAGGCATTTTTCAATGTAGTCAAGTTAAAATTACGACTAACCATCACAAAGGTTTGAAAAGTTACCCTGAATTTCCTCAAACTTTTTTTTTTGGGTCCAGTCGTGGGGCTTGAACTCTGGGCCTGGGCGCTGTCCCTCAGCTCTTCAGCTCAAGGCTAGCGCTCTACCGCTTGAGCCACAGCGCCACTTCCGGCTTTTTTCTTTTTGCTTATGTGGTACTGAGGAATCGAACCCAGGGCTTCCTACGTGCATGCTAGCCAAGCACTGTACCACCCAGCCCGGAGCCTTCCTTCTTCGACACTTTCCTTCTTTGGTTCCTTCTGTCTTTATTTCTTTTCTCCCTCTCTCTATTTGCGGAAAGTCTCACAGACTTTCCTTCTCCAGGCTGGCTCTGAACCATGATCCTCTGATCTCAGCCTCCTGAATGGCCACGCTTACAGGTGTGGGCCATCCGTGCCTAGTGAGGTGTGGGTGCTTTCTTAAGCATATGCATGGTCCCGGGTTCTTGCACCAAAAATGAAGCAAGGTAGGCGAGGGAGAGGAGAGCGGGATAGTTGATGGGTTGTGGGGCATGATCTCAGCGTCTGGGTGCTCCCTTTTGCTCAAGGTTTGAGCTCTGCCACTTTGATCCACAGCGCCACTTCTGGCTTCCTGGTGGTTAATTGGAGAGTCTAGCAGACTTTACTGCTGGGCTGGCTTTGAACTGCGATCCTCAGATTTCACCTTCCGGAGCCGACAGACATGAGTCACTACCAGTGCCCGGTGAGTGCTAAGTGCCTTCTTAAGCACATGCATGGTCCAGAGTATCTTGCACCAAAAATGGAGTGAGGGAGGAAAGAGAGGGCTAGTTGAGGGTTTTGTTGTTGTTGCTGCCGCTGTTGGACCAGGCACTGCCCCCTGAGCTCCCTTTCCCTTAAAGGTAGCGTTCTGCCATTTTAAGCCACAGCGACATTTCCGGTTTTCTGGAGGTTAATTGAAAAGTCTGGGTGACTTTCCTGCCAGAGACGGCTTCGAACCTCGATCCGCAGATTTCAGCCTCTTGAGTGGATAAGATTACAGGTGTGAGCCACGGATTTTTATTGGTTCTTTTAACTTCTTCAGTCCAGCAGAGGAGGTTTGTTTATTTCATGGAGAAGCTTCATTTGAAACTCTGGGGGAATGCTTAAAGTTTTTGTGACTAGTTACAGATATTAGTAGGCGGGGATTGGCCATTTGGGAATAGATTCAAGTGATCCGCTTCTGGAAGGGCTTTAAACACTAAGCCAAGGGCTGCAAGGTGCTCGGCTGCCACCTCTCTCTTCTTGACCCAGGTGACCACATTCCGGCCCCAAACCGGACCCCCAGCCTTCCAGGAACCCAAGCGATCAGGTTCGTTTAGGTCTTCTCATAGCAGGAGGGGGCGCAGGCGCAAGTGCTTTAGCTGAACTAGGCAGGTGGTGGCCGAGGGCGCAGGCGCACTGGGCCGAGCGGCCAACGTGGGAATGGTCGGCAGAGGGCGCAGGCGCGCTGGTTGGAGTCGTTTGGGCGGGGCATCATCCCGGAGATTTAAGGGGTCCTTGAGAGAGCGGGCTTGCCTGGGAGCCCGAGATAGTGGGCAGGGCCAGGTTGGGGGTTGAGCCTAAGCCGTTCCGGAAGGAAGTGGTTCCGGGTCTCTCCGAGAAGCAGTGGCAGCAGTAGTTCCGCTGCTGTGAGAGGCGGCGGCTGCATGAGGGGCGAGGCCTGAGTGGCCAACGGCTGAGGCGGCGGCGGCGGCGGCGGCGGCAGCGGCAGCAACAGCAACGGCGGCGGTGGCGGTGGCGGTGGCGGGGATTTCCCGGCTGGGTGAGAGGCCGTGGCGAGCGGGCGGGGCGCGGAGACCCGAGCCGAGGAGGGTGTGTCTGTTGTCCGGGAGAGGCGGTTCTCCGGGGTGGCGGGTGCGACGGAGGGGACGGTACGGCTGTGTGGCTCGGCTTTTCGGGGTCCGGGTCTTCTCTACCCCCCCCCAACCCCTGAGCCAAAGCATTGCCTTGGCGGCGGCGGCGGCGGCGACGGCGGTGGCGGTAGCGGCGGCGGCAGCAGCGGCGGCGGCAGCAGCGGCGGCAGCGGCGGCGGCCCAGTTCTGGCTCCTCCGTGTCCCTTCGGCCGTGCGATCGTCCCCTGCTGGAGCCTAGGCACCTGCTACCGCTCCCACTTTTCCCTGTGGTGGGACAGACTGCGGTCCGTTTGGATCGGAGCGACTGTCACCAGGACGGACTGGGAGAAGGCGCCCTTGTTCTCACGGGGGCGGTGCACGCGTCGCCCGAGAGACCTGAGTCGCGGGTCCCCCCCCCCCCGCGCTTTGTCCTGCTGAGAAGCTCCTGCCGCGCAGAGGCCTTTCCCCCCTGATCATGTCTCCAATGAGTAGTGAAGGCTGCTCTTCATCGTACATGCCAGAGTAAAACTTGGCTTTGCACAAACGGGTACTGGAAATTGGCGCAGCTCGTGTGTTTCTGTGTGACGTATTTAGGGAACGGGGCCACTGTCACGGCTGTCTTGTCAGTAGGTCAAGAAGGAAAGAAATGGGAGCAAAACTTCTCCCCTTTAGTTTTCTTCTGCGGTGCTTTTCCAACTCCTTCCTAAGCGATCGGTTTTCCTTTCTAGAACAAATCACAAACTACAGGCAGAAAAATCAGAGTCTCCTAAGTTTCTGGTGAAATAACCTTTGCAGCATTTAAAACACAAATTTGTTTTGTTTGTGTAAGTACTGGGACTTGAACTCAGGCCCTTGAGCACTGTCCCTGAGCTCTGTTGCTCAAAGCTAGAACTAGCATTTGAGCCACAGTGCCACTTTTAGCTTTTTAGTGGTTAATTGGAGATGAGAGTCTCAGAGACTTTCCTGCCCTGGCTGGCTTTGAACCACAATCCTCAGATATCAGCCTTCTGAGTAGCTAGGACTACAGGTAAGAACCGCCAGTACCTAGCTTCAGTTTTTGTATGTTTTTTCCTTTCCTTTTCTTTTTCTCTGAGATTCAGGCGCATTTTGGTCTAAGACTGGGACTCCAACGCGGTGCTTGATGCTTTTACTCATTGCTAATCACTCTACCACCTGATTCTCACATCCAGCCCCTTTCCCCTTTTTGGAAACAAGTCCAAATGGAAAGACTGGAATTTGAAAAGGCTTGGCTGTGGCTTTTATTTATTTTGTGACATGAAGGTCTCTTTTGTTGCTCGGGTTGGTCTAAACTCCTCTATTACAATAATCCTCCTACTCCAGCTCTCAAAAGTACTGGGGTTACAGGTACATGTCACTGCTGGGCTATAGTGCTTTTTTTGTGGATTGTAGCGGCTGAACTCTGGGCCTGGGCGCTGTCCCTCAGTTCTTTAGCTCAAGGCTAGCACTCTACCACTTGTGCCACAGCACCACTTCCGGATTTTTCTACTTCTGTGGTGCTGAGGAATCGAACCCAGGGCCTCATGCATGCAAGGCAAGCACTCTAGCACTGAGCCACCTTCCCAGCCCATGCTTTATTTTTTAACGGTATTTTAATAGTAATTGCATGGTAAAGTTTTATTTTATTTTTATTTTTTTCTTTCCTTTTTCCATACCACCTTCTCTCTTTACTTCCCCTCATTTTTTTTTTTGAGAATGTTATGGAGGAATCAAACCCAGAGCCTGGAGCATGCTACCCAATCATTCTACCTCTGAACTATGCCCCATACCCAGTAATGCTTTATTATTACTATTATTATATTTTACTACTAAAAGTTTCTTTTGAGCTCCTCCTAGTTTCACAGTGTCCCTCAGAAATCTTTAAAGTTCTTTTTAGCTGTTTTCCCTTATGTTGGGTGATTGTAAGAGTCAAATGTTCTCTTGTACTTAGAGCATAGATTTAAGGATCATTGTTTTTCAAGTAAATATCTATGTTCAAAAGTTGTTTTGTATCTCAGCACTTGGGATTCTGAGGTAGGAGGATTGCAAATTCAAGGCCAGTTTGGCAACTTACTGAGATCCTGTCTCAAAAAAACAAAACAAAACAAAACAACCCCGGAATCCAGGGGCTGGGAATGTGGCTTAGTGGTAGAGTGCTCTCCTAGCATGCAGGAATCGCTGGGTTGGATTCCTCAGTACCAACTACACAGAAAAAGCCAGAAGTGGAGCTCTAGCTCAAATGGTAAACTGTTAGCCTTGAGCAAAAGTAGCTCAGGGACAGTGCCCAGGCCCTGAGTTTAAGCCCCAGGACTGTCAAAAAAAATTTTTTTTAAAAAGGATTCCACATGCTTGTGGCTCAGGCATGTAATCCTAGGTATGCAGGAGGCTAAGATCTAAGGATCATAGTTTTTAAGTCAGCTCAGGCACAGAAAGTCTGTGAAACTGACAGAAAGCCAAGAGTGGAGGTGTGGCTCAAGTGAGAGTGCCAGCCTTGAGTGAAATAGCCACGTGAGACTTTTGAGGCCCTGAGTTCAAGCCCCAGTATCTGCACCAGAAAAAGAGAAAAGGTTCTAAAGTCCTTTCCCCACCCACTTTCACTCCTTAAGTTTGAAGTTTCATACTGCTGCCCTAGATTCTATTCAAAATAGTGTCAAGTGGGTCTGGGGGGAGTAGCTGTGTGTTACAGCATGTACTTAGTGTTCAGGGCCTTGTGCTCAACATTCAGAACCATACGGAAAAAGAAAAGCAAGAGTTCTGAAACTAGGAGAATGAATGAATCTGCGTGAAGGTTAGAAAATATTTCAAGGCACTCACGCTGTATAAAGCAAAGGGGGCAGATATAAAGCTAAAACACAGCCCTTGGTCTCGTGATAAAGTAAACAATAGTATTTATGTGCTAGAGGCTAGAGCTTGTCCAAGCAGCTAGAGTGCATAAAAGCTGATTTCCAAATTTAGATGGCAATTTTAGATGGGATTTGGTATGTCAACTACTGTTGAGTGTGCTGAAGATCAGTTCTGCTGACAGGGCATCTAAGTAAGTGACCAGGTAGTCTCCCCAGGATCATTTTCTTTTTCCGTTTCTTTTTTTGTTTTTGGTCGAGGAGCCTGAACTCTGGGCTTGGGTGCTGTCCCTCAGCTCTTCAGCTCAAGGCTAGTGCTCTACCACTTGAGCCACAGCACCACTTTAGCTTTTTCTGCTTATGTGGTGCTGAGGAATCCAACCTAGGGCCTCATGCATGCAAGTCAAGCGCTCTACCGCTGAGCCACCTTCCCAGGCCCCCCCAGGATCATTTTCTGCAGGTAGGAGTTGTAAGGTAGAGAAGTGTTAGTATTAGAGTCCCAGAGCATGGATTCTGTCTTTGGAGCAGATAGTTAACCTTTCTTTGAGTTGGTTTCTTCAATCAAGTTATAGAGGTAGTCCCAGCTTTCACAAGTACTTGTGAGGATTAAATAGGATAGCATTTGTATAGCACTTAGCAAGCCAAGAATGGTTTATGACCATTCTTATCACCAGAGACTTGGGCTTCTCTGGGAATGAGGCTAGGGCTCTTCCTGGTTCCTCCAGACACTGGCACTTAGTAATATTTGCTAAAATAATGTAGAATATGACCACTGATGAAAATTCAGTTGGTCCCAAAACAGGAGATAATATGTAAATATAGAATATTGGAGTTAATATTAAGGAATAAAGAAAACCACACTAATTGGACAGACTTGTCTCTCTCACTGTTATTCTACCTTAGCTCCCTAATGCCAGGCAAATAGTCTCTTCTTATCAAGAATAAATCTACCCAAGTTGATCCCATTTCAGAACCTCCCTAGATCCCCTTACTGCTCTGCTGCCACCCAGATTTTCTCCTTACTTTCTCTGCCTGACTGTTTAAAGTAGTTATTAATAGCCTTCTCAGTCTCTTGACTTTCTACTTACTCTATGCAGCATTTGCCTTGGATGTCTCCTTTTCTTGAAACAACTCTCTTTATTTTCTGACATCCTATGTTTTCACACAAAGTTCCTCTCAGTCTCTCTTTGCTAGTTTCTCTTCATTCTAAGGTGGATATGTTTGCAGGCTTGATCCTTTTTATGCTAAACTGTGTCTGGAATAACTTATAGTGCATAGAGGCCATCTGATATTTGGAGGTTTGCTCAGGTACCCTGAAACCATCTGGGCCTGATGCTTTTTATGAGATTGTTCCTTATATAAATTTTTTTTTGCCAGTGGAAATTGGTCTGTTATAGCTTTATAATTTAACAAGGTAAATTTAGAGAGTTTACTTTTTAGCAATGTATACCTTTCGTCAGGATTTTAAAACTTATTTGGTAGATGATTTTAATTTTCCTTTATTGTTTTATATATTTTTACTTTCTTCCATTTTTTTCATCAAGAAAAAGTTATACAGATTAAAAAAAAAGAGGGCTGGGAAGGTGGCTCAGTGGTAGAGCGCTTGCCTTGCATGCATGAGGCCCTGGGTTTGATTCCTCAGTATCATATAAGCAGAAAAAAGCTGGAAGTGGTGCTACAGCTCAAGTGGTAGAGCGCTAGCCTTGCTGAAGAGCTGAGGGACTGCGCCCAGGCCCAGAGTTCAGGCCCCACAACCTACAAAAAAAAGAAAGAATATAGTAGTAATATGTAGTATATAGTAGTATTTAATGGTTTACTTTTTAATGACAGAATTCTAAATTATCTCATTTTAAATTATTTTCCTTATTCTCTTTATTTTTACATAAGAAAGTTGAGTATTTGCAGATTTTGGGAAGAGAGAGAGAGAGAGAGAGAGAGAGAGAGAGAGAGAGAGAGAGAGAGAGAGAGAGAGAGAGCATCCTGAATCCCTTTAGGTGACTGCAAAGAAAAGTTAACAATAGTGGTTATTACTTGTAGTGCCTGCCTCTAATTCTACCTCTCTCTGTCTTTCTTACAATGCTTTGTTTTGGCTT